CCTGGGTTCTCACGTTACATGCTCAGGTATTCTTCGTCGGTCAGTCTCCCATCCCCCAGTGCAGACTATCCTAGCCACACTCCCCTCTCAGCATTCACAGACCACAGTAAGAACAGTCCCAGTTCATCACAGTGTGATTATTCTTCCTCCTGCACTGTTACCATGTCAGTTTCTCTCTCTCTGTGTGTCCCCTCTTCCCTTTCTTGTCACGCACAGGCACTCCTGTTTAGGATTACTGGCTTTTCCCGCCTCTCCTCAGAAGCTCCATAAATGCGGAATGATTATAGCTTTTTACCTCGCTTTTACACTAAGATTATTTAAAAAAAAATTAAATACCTGCCCTTGGCTTGGTCGTGTGGTATTCCCATCCCCGTGGGAGGGAAATGGGGGCCCCCAGGTGAAGTGTCTGGGCAGTGGGAAGGGAGGTCAGAGGAATGTAATTGCATGTCTATAGCATCGTTTCCACATGGGTCATCAGCAGGGTTTGGACCTAAGATCTCCAGCACCCATACACAAATACTGGCTGGGTGGGGGTTGGCTTGAAGTTGATCATGTGAGCAACACTAGCCTCTCTGCTTACCATCGTTAATCTGCTTTGGGCGTTTCCCCAGGGCCTCAACCCCGTGCAGCGCCGCACGGATGTGCAGTGAAACCCAAAGGGTGCCCTGCCTGATGCTGGAAATTAAATAACCCCTCAGTTGATCCTGAACCCAACCCTACTCCCTCTGGCACGGCCTGAGTGCTCTAATGAGACACCCCTTTGCGGCCTTCCCCCGGGGATAGTGCTGGAGCGGCTGCTTTTTCGGGTGGGGAAATGGAGCGGAGTGTTGTGAGGCAGACTCCAGTGACCCCCTTTTTGGCCCGCGTCCCCCTGCACCCTCAGATCTGCATTAAGAGTCTGGTGAAAGGGAGACTTCAGCCACGCCCTGGGGGAGCGGAGCAGAGTGAGGGGCGAGGGCGGGAGCTGGGCACAGCTCCCTGCAGGCTGGCGGAGGCAGGCAGGCTGGGAACACGCCGCCTGTTCCCTCTGCAGACGCGGCAGGTGGGCGGAACAATCCCGGCGTCTGTGGCTGACGAGATGGGATTTAATGTGTTGTGACAATTCCCAGTGTTTCTGGGGGCTGGGCTGCAAGGGCCGGGGAGGTGGTGGGAGACGGGAGCTGCCCACGGAGGACTCGAGCGAGCCTGGGTGGAGGTGGGGCAGTGACTCAGGGTAGCTTCTCCCACAGCGACGTGAGCGTGGGCTAGTGTACAGGGCTACTGGCCGATTGGGTAGGAGCGCGTGCCACAAGGGAATGGCCAGGCTGTTGCCACCTGTGTGTCCAGGGAAGTGTGATGGGGAGGTGCTGAGCATTATGGGAAGGTCCCTGTAAAACTGGACTCTGGGCCAAATTCTCCCGCCGTAAATCTGGGGCAACTCCTCTGAGGAGGCTTCTTTGGATGGACGCTGGTGGTGGCTGAGAGCAGCATGGATGGGGATGCAGGGTCCCAGCTCCAGAGCTTTCTCCTCCTGGAAGCAAAGACCCCCTGCTGATCCCCGTGCTCTGCAGCGGCCAAGGCTCCTTCCCCAGGAGACGCCCCACAGCTTGCGGGTGCAGCAGCTACCCAGCCGTGCCAGGGAACGGGATGCAGGCTGCACAGGGGATGAGGGGCCTGTCCATGCACCTGGGGCCTTGTCGGTACCTGCTGCCCGAACTGAACGGATGTGCAGAGCCCCCATTGCAGCCGCTGCTGGGACGGGAGCTGTGGGACTCAGAGCGACTCTCTGCGCCATCCTCTCCTCTCAACATCCCTTTCTCCTCCTCTTGACTTTGTGCCTCTCCTCACTTTGCACGGGGCTGTAGCAGCAGCTAGGAGCCCTCTTAGCCCTTTTATCCAAACTGTGGGGTGTGCCCTGAGCCCCCTTTGCCCAGACTGCCCCTGTGAGCAGAACCAGGGAGACCCTTGGCATCGCCCCGCGGACAGTGGCCCTTGCGCATGGCCTGGCTGCAGGCTCAGCCCTGCACAGTGAGATCTTCACAGCCCCGGGGGCTGGACGCTCAGGCCGATGTTCTCAAAAGTGGCTGCTGATTGAGTGCTTGTTTGCTGGGTGCTCCAGAGGGGCCAAGCACCCGCCGCTGCCGTCAGCTTCGGCTGGAGACGCAGGTGCTGAGTAGTTTGCGAGTTTTGGGCCTTCATCTGTACTTAAAAAATGGGAGCTTAAATCCTGTAGGAGTTTGGTGAGGCCAGCTTGGGAGCTCCACTTCACCCCCACAGCCCGTGAACTTCACTGCACCCCAACAGCCCGTGAGCCCTGCTGCGCCCCCATCGCTCGTATCTGCTGACCACAACTAGCTCTCCTCTGGCCTCCCAGCTGCAACACTTGCATATTTCTGGACGTGGCTCCAGCAGTCCGAGGGCATGGGAGGGGGGCTTCCTTTAGTCTCCCTGGTGTTTGGGGCCCCATTAAAGCAGAAACCTGATGCTGTTTCTCCCTGGGGGGTAGATTGCTTGTGGCTCTGGACCGGGACTTT